GCTGGCCGGTCCTCCCGCCTGGAAAACATGTGGGACACACAGCAAAAGGTTGCGTTAAACTTGTCTAAAAAGCCCCCATTAAAACTGTGTGAAGTCTCCTAAATTTCTTTATCATACAGAGGACAGCTAGCTTATTATTTACATTTTAAGAAAGAAGGCACTCGAGATCTAGAAAAATGATTTCCAACTACATTAATAATATGGCCTTCTAGAGCCACAAGATGAATTGAGTGCACACTCACACACACAAACTCAAAATAAACTAACGCTGTTACAAAAAGATTTTTTATTCCAAACCCTACTTCTCCCTGTCTATTTTTTTTCTTTTGTACAGAAGCCACCCTTACCTGGCATGTCTCTCTGGCCTGCTGGTCGGAGAACGGGGAAGCCACCAGCAAATAAGCCCCCCAGGGGCTGCTGAGAACCACCTTTGTTAACGGCTGAATTTCCTCCATCTCTGTTAGCCCCTTTGGGTTCTGTTATAAAAAGAGAAACTCTCTCAGAAAACCATTTCATCCTTGCTCTCAGGCTACTGTGACTTAGCCTATAACAATATAGCGTTAACAAACACATCCAGGACTAGACCTTTTCCTCTTCAAACTGACTCAGCAAGAAAATTAATTGTTGCTACAACAAACTACCACTTCTCTGACCAACGCCTTCGAGCACAGCACCCTCTGGTGCTTTCTCATCCTCATGTCAGTGATACAACCAGCAAGAAGTGACAGACTACATTTGAAAATGGTCATCTCCCAGGTGCTTATGCAATTCTAAAAAGCCCCTATTTTTGTTAGGAAATCTCCCTCACTGAAGGGTTTAGTTGATGAAACTTGTCAAGATCCTTCTAGCCCTATCATTTTGTCACTAGGTCAGCTCACCTAAGCTCTCTTCATTTGTGGATCAAATGCATACTAGCATATTAGCATTAGATCTTCCCTCTCTAGCCATCATGCCCAAGATATTTCCTTTAGTGTTATCATGCTAGGAAAAAGAAAATAAACCAACAAAATCTACCATTGCAAGGTGCCTGGAAAAGGGTTTGGGTGAGAAAAAAAAAAAAAAAAAAAAAGGACTCCAGCAACCTCTATAATTTGTAAAATGTTATTTTTCTCCCTAATTTTAAATGACGAGTAGTTTGATAAGACATGCATTCCTAACAGAGAGACTTGTGTTGAGATAAGCACTCTTTATTTTAAGGGAATTAAACTTATGCTTCTAAAATTGGCATCTTTTATTCCTTTTACCTAGTAAGGAACAACTCTTTTGCTGGAGCCAACTATTCTGTTTAAACGTTTATTTCACTGAGAAATTTCCATCAGTTTCATCGTTTATGGACCTTTTTGAACAAGGGATGCTGGTTAAGGTGCTCTCCATTATGCCCTTATTCTGAACATTTTTTATCTTGCAGTGCAATGTAAGATCAGAAAATGAAACTCTCCCTCTGTACTTCCTGAAGTAACACGAAGATGCTGACCTTGGATGTACTTTGAGCCTGCTCTTCTTATAGAAAATATTCCCTCTGACCTCCACAACTGAGACTGTAGCAAAGCTCACCCAGAGGCCCTTCCCAGAGCTACACACTTACTTTCAATCTGTGGTGCACTTCGGTCATTGATCTGCGTCACTTTCCTTAAGCGGGTCCCTTGCTGGATATCAGCTAGAAGTGCACTTCGTGCTTTTTGGTCTTCCTTTCGCAATTTTGGTAGTTCTGAACTCGTCTGTTGAAGATAAGAGCATTAGACAGCAGGCGCCGATGAAAATAAACGCTGAGAGAGGACACATAAGTGAACTTGGGATAGAAAATTTGAAATAAACCATCCCTGGCAGCTGTCATTTTAAAACCTTTAGATCCAGTCAACAGGAATGGCTTCAGTTCCTGAGAGGCAGGAAACCTACCCAATCTACTACTAGCTGTGTATTTAAAATCTTTAAAAGAAATTGGGAGCCATGCTTAAACGCTATCTATTTGACCTAATGCTGGGCCAGCTACGCTCTGTGAACCAGTAGGTCTCTCTCTCTCAAGCTCTGCTTGCCTATTTCTTTACTTCTTTCCATTCTGTTTATAGTGCTGTATGACAAAGATTTTATATGCCACCTTAGAACAAAAATCTTTGTTTCATCTATTTGCCCTTATTGAATAAAATCTCCCTAAGGACACACTGCATTTGTATTTGAATGTTAACATAATTTAGACTGTTTCCCTGTTTTCAAGAATTATGCCATTTTAGGTAGACTGCTTTAGAGCATTAAAATTATTGCTCAAAATACTTGACAGCTTTCCTAGCCTAGCTAAGGTCCATAAATGGAAAAGCAGGCTTAAAGATCCATAGGAAAATAAAATGTATGTTTATTCTTTAGTAATCCTTTATTCTATTTGGTTTCTTATTACTAAGAAATCAGAAGCAAATAAAACCCAGCAAAACTGTTATTTCCAAACCTATCCCATGGCCAACAGAGTGATCTGACAACAGCCAGAGTCCTGACATCAGAGGTACAAAATGTTGCATATTACCATATCCATGGTACATTTTTATAGGTTACCTAACTGTCCTAAAAAGAACAAGTGGCAGAAATGTTTCTATAAGCCTTCATTTTAGCATTCTAGCCATAAGAAAGTAGAACAGTAAGTAGAGCAACGCTATCATACTTCAAAGCAACCAAAAAAGCGAGTTGGTATTAGCCTTCTGAAAGCAAAGCAGAAGCTTGAAAATACTTACCAGCTGATGAATTAATAAAATGTCTAACCTGCCTGTCTTAGTAGAAAAAATATACCGTTCTGATATTGCTTGTGGTTATTTTTGTACTAGGTTAAAAACAAGCAAAAAAATCCCACCAACCAACTAAAAAATAAAACCCCAAGTGGATTTGCATGGATCCACTAGATGGCACTCCAGGTTGTACTAATGCCAGCTGCATTCCTGACACCTGATGTAAAAACTCTGAATTATAATCTTGTGACTGATCCAGTTAACCGTGTTATTTAAGAAAACATTAGAAAGAACTAGGCTGTTATATAGTTTCCTAACTTCTGAAACAGAGCTACCTGCTTTGTACTCTACAGACAACAAATACCAATTCCCCTTAGGACAGCTCAGAAATGCTGCATGGTTACAAGCAACTTTAGACAAGCCAGAAACTATTTTCATTCGCATTTTCATTAAGTTCACAATACTTACTGTGAAAAATGGAAATACCATAATGGAAGCAAGGGTAACCTCCCTTCTCCTGACAGCCTGTTACCAGTATCTAGAGCCTCACGTCTCTATTCCCATGCAGAAGCCGTGGTCAGGGTCTAAAGGGATCTGATCAAGACCTATGTTTAAAATTAGATGTGGCAGCTGTGTTTGTGTCCGGGTTCAAGTGTCTGTGTATTATGCCAGCTCTCCACCTCATCTCCCCAGGCTATTT